GTATAAATAAAATCTCATTATAACAGCCTTCAGTGAAAAAGGTTTTTGTTACACTAAAATAAATGTTGAAATAATTTACATTTTCTGTTAGCCACTAGAGGGCATCATGTTCTTGTACTATTGACACCAAAAATGATGAGGCATTTTATTTCATAGTTGTAGTTTTTCTAGACATTTCTCTGCTGTAAGTTTGTTTATTTAATTAAATTGTTTTTCACGATAATGCTGTGTGTCATCTAAAATACTCATTACATCATTGAAACAGTTTATTCACCACAATAAAAAAATTTCAGTTGTAAATTCTACTGAAACATTAAATTCACTACAGATAACACTGTACTGTGCTCACTACAGATATAAGACCTGTTAAAAGTATTATTGTCATGGAAGATTTACTATTAAAAAGACAAATGGGTAGAAAGGTAGCTGAAAATTTTGTTTTAAATGCTTTTGTTATTTTATAAGAATAATAAATTTATTGAAAACAGTTTTTCAAATTTCATTATACTGAAAAGTTAATGAAATTTAAAAAACTGTTTTCAATAATTTTATTTGTTACGAATATTAATTTTCATTTTCAATAATATTAATGAAGTATTTGTTCAGTTATAACACAAAACAATGAGTTATTTAAAAATTTTATTCAACAAACAGTTATAATAGAATTCTTTCCATGAATATGTATAATATAAATGTATTTTAAAATATACTTAAAAAACTTATATTTTACATTACTAAGTGTTAAATTTTTACCAGTTTTAAATCATATTTATAATAATTTTTTCTGCATGTTATTATACAAATATATAGAATTCTAACACAAATAAGGTAAAAAAAAATCATGATTCACAAATAAACATTTTTGCTTAAATGGTTATAAATTAAAACAACTTAGTGTTGTTTTAATTTATAACTTTAACCATTTTAACTTTAAAGTTTGAAAGCTGATATAAAAAAAGTAAAAACAATTACAAAATCTGACAAGAGAACTATTATTCTTATTGTCTTGATGCTTATAAAAATATTCATAAAAATTCAAAATGTATAAATATTAGATTAAAATCACATTCTTACCTTATCTGATAATTCATTTTCAACATCTTTCTTTATCCTTCTTAACATGAAAGGTTTTAATATCATATGCAATCGAGAAAGATGTTCTGAAACAAAATTTTATATGTATATTCATGTAACACATTAAAAATAATACTCTTAAAATATTTTCAAAATCAGCGGTAAAATAATTTTTTATCATGGTATTTTCCATACTTATTTCTCTTTATTTCAATAAATATACATAAATTATAACTGTTAAAAAATGAAATTTTATGTTTAAAAAAATCCCGCNGTTTTTGTAAACATTTATATATGTAAAAATTTATTTAAGGTGTATGACTTTTGTAACACATTTAAAATTATTATTATATAAATTGCTTAAAAAATAATCTATATTAAATTTGTAGAAACTCACTTTCATCAATAGTTGATTTATTTTCTGCATGACTTTCAATATCTTTAGAAAACCATTCATTAAATTCTTCATGAGAATCAAATAATGTTGGCATAATAAAATGTAATAGAGCCCATAGCTACAAATTATAAAAAAAACAATACAATGAATGGCAAATTACTAGATTTTACTGTAATGAAAAAATAAAACATACCTCAGCCATACTATTTTGAATTGGTGTTCCTGATAGAAGTAATCTGTTTCTACAATTAAATCCTAATAATATCTTCCACCGTACACTAAAAATTACATAAAAGAAAAGCTTTTAGTCATTTTAATATTCTAAAAACTAATGATAGGTTTATTCAACTCATTTGTAATAATAGAATGATCATTCAAATCTATAAAATTCCTTCTTTTAGTTAAATTCATGATAATTCTTGGTTTTTAATAATAAAATGATGTAATCACTTTATATTTTTCACATTAAGCATAAACATATCAAAGTCCTCAAACCATTTTTAAAATTCCATTATTAATAGCAGGATATTTAAATTAATAATTTTATAAATTAAAGTGAAACAACAATCAAGGTTTTTTAAATTTTAAATAAGAATGCTTAAAAATTAAAAACGTTTTAAATTATTCACCATAGAAACAGATCAAAACACAACCTAAATAACTCATTCAATTAGCCATTGATTTTTACAGTATATTTCTATCTCTGTTTGCCAACAAAACAAAAAATAATTTTTTGGACCAAATTTTAATTTGAGACTAAGAAACTCATGTAACTCTAAGTAATTTTTCATTTTTAAATGTTAAAATGTACCAAAAAAAGAGTGAGTGAATCATTTGGATAAACCCATCACTACTACAAATATGCAATACATATTAGTTCTCATGCAAAATTATCAATATGTGAAAAGAGTATAGTGTATTTATTATCAATATTTTTTAAAATTCTAATTGAACTGAATTTATTTTCAATTAATCAATAACTCTGAATTAAAAATTAATGTTTACAAAACTATGTTAAAATAAATACAGTAATTTTGCAAACATTAAAATTATTCTATTGGGTTGTTCAGAAAGTAATTTTGTTTTTTTACCACCTGTATTTTTACCTGCCAATTTCATTCTAAATTGTATTGTCATTATATATTTTGACAGCTGACATTTCAAGGTTTATTTGTAAAAATTTTATTTGATTTTTTGCAGTTGTTTTTTTTGGTGTCCCATCAAATACGGAAAATCTAAAGTAGTATTTTTAGCATATTTTGCTTTCTTATTATCAAAAAGGTAAGAATGCTGTTCAAGCAAGAAAACAATTGTGTGACATGTATGGAGAAGATGTGTTGACAGAACAACAGTACCAAAACTGGTTCACAAAATTTTTTCCAGCAATTTTGATATTGAAGATGCACCACATTCTGGAAGGCCAGTTGAAGCTAATGAAGTAAAATAAAGGTATTCATTGAAGCAAACACAGAATAACAACATGAGAAATCACTAAGAGATTAAATTTGTTGAATTCAACAATTTGTAATCACTTGAAACAACTTGGTTTCATTTCAAAGCTTGNACTTTCATCAATAGTTGATTTATTTTCTGCATGACTTTCAATATCTTTAGAAAACCATTCATTAAATTCTTCATGAGAATCAAATAATGTTGGCATAATAAAATGTAATAGAGCCCATAGCTACAAATTATAAAAAAAACAATACAATGAATGGCAAATTACAGGATTTTACTGTAATGAAAAAAATAAAACATACCTCAGCCATACTATTTTGAATTGGTGTTCCTGATAGAAGTAATCTGTTTCTACAATTAAATCCTAATAATATCTTCCACCGTACACTAAAAATTACATAAAAGAAAAGCTTTTAGTCATTTTAATATTCTAAAAACTAATGATAGGTTTATTCAACTCATTTGTAATAATAGAATGATCATTCAAATCTATAAAATTCCTTCTTTTAGTTAAATTCATGATAATTCTTGGTTTTTAATAATAAAATGATGTAATCACTTTATATTTTTCACATTAAGCATAAACATATCAAAGTCCTCAAACCATTTTTAAAATTCCATTATTAATAGCAGGATATTTAAATTAATAATTTTATAAATTAAAGTGAAACAACAATCAAGGTTTTTT